GTGCATAAACCAAATATTTCCTTCTTATAAAATCTTTGAAGTTAGTGTAAAAAGAAATGTGAGTGATGAAGGATATGTTGATGTTTATTGTATTTGTGACAAAACAATGAACCCTTTGGGACGTGTGTCTTGTACCTCAAAAGATGGATGCAAAGTTACAGATGTTGTGATAGTTTTGCAACCTGCAGTTATGAAAATATTAAAAAAATTGTATAAGTTAGGTTATGCCATAGACCAGAAATGGATATGCAAAGGTTTGCCGATGCAAAGGAAAATAAATAAATATGGAAAAGCGTACTTAAGAAATAATTTAAAATTAGTCAAACCTAAAAAAATTCTAATTTATTTACAGCCTTTTGAAACAGACTATTTTTTTATTGCTGACGCCGATGACGCTACTGACTACGAACTTGTTACACGGGATAAATTTACAGTAGTATATCGGGGTATAGTCGGTAAATTACTTAACGAATGTGGGACCGACTCCATTTATTTTAGTTATAAAAATAACAACTTCACAGTTGATTTATCTTATGAAATAATTAGAGATGGATGGCAAGATAATGATATAAGAGCTGTCGTTTCGCATTCAAATATATATTTTATTAATAATTCACTTTTGAAGTTAATAAAGAAAAATAATTTGTATGTACCTATTTGCGATAAAGGTTATGTTTGTAACAAACAAACAGACACATTCACTTTGGCAGGAATTTCTTGTAACAAGGGCCCATTCTGCATATCTCTCTTTCTTAATGTGTTACTAGTGTTATTAGTGCTATTACTCATAATTCTTAGCAGTTGGTTGTTTTTTACTTTGCGTTCTTGGATAAAAAAGAATTCGAAAGTAGTATGCACAGAAGTTAATATGGTCGATTATGAAATTCCTGTTGACAAAAATAATTGTAGAAGTATAAGAGGTGAAAAAATTATTTCTCAAGTGGAATCAAATGATAGTAGTGTAAAAGCAGAATTTCTTGAATATTGTACTGTGTATTCCAACTTTCCAAAATTATATGTAGTGCGGAAAGAGAAGTGAAAAAGTTAAGAATTAAATAATAAATTATTTGTACTCCATTTTGATTCACTTATTTTACACAATATTTCAATATATTTTATTTTATAAAACTGGTGGTTGCTTTGCCATAATAGACTTAAGTGTAATTACATTTGTTAGTGAAAATTTACAGAACTTCAGACGCTTTTAGCATATTTCTAGAGCTCTGCTACAAAAAATTAACTAACTAACGTATATTTACAGTTGGTACGGTGGGTCTATACACGTTCGTCGTTAATATCTGATAAAATAAACTGGTAAAATACATCATTTTTCTAATAGTCATAAAACGTAAGAGAATTTTTTTTTACGGGGTTATGATGTCCAAATAATGTTATTTTTAACAGACACGTTATTTGTAAAATGGTTGTTATTTCTGTGTGTTTATAAAATACCATATCTGTTGAAAATAACACAGGTTGTCAATCATAACCCCCTTAGTTTCTGTCATTTAATCAAAATATGTTATTGTGATGACTGATTACGCACTCGGTGTGCCCCAAAAAAAATATAATTAGACACTCTTTAATATTTTAATAAAATGGGGTCGAGTAGCCACTCTATTTGTAAATTTAAGACACACATTGTTTTGATTAAAATTTATTGACCTTTTTCACATGTACATTAGATATGACGCATGCGTTAAGAAGCACAGGATAAACTATTAAATTGTTAATTTCAAAAACAATATGAGAAAAAAATCAATTTTCAGTAGACACAAAAAATTCATATATTTTTTAATAAAGTATTTGAGTATTTAGATTTTATGAATGGAATGGAAGAAATAAGAAACCAAAGTTAAAGAAAATTATTATTGTTTGTTATCGACTCATGTGGTTTTTGAACGGAACACTTTTTTTATATTTGTTTTCAAAGGAAATAAGAGCAAAAATATACATTATCAAAACGTTTAATAAAAATTATTTTAAAATGTAAAGAGAAAGTAACATTAAGCTTGAAAAATAAGCTGATAATATAAATTAAAATGCTAACTAAAAAATCAACTGTCCGGTTAAAAACCACATAAGTCGTCATCTTATATGGTATTTGTAAAGTATACAAAAAAATAAGGTTTATTTATCTGACTTTTTACGACATAAACTTAATTTTGCCAAAAGTTGATTTATGTGGTTTTTGAAATGACCGATTCAATTGTAATTAATTTATCTTGCCAATTTGTAACTAATATTTATCAAGTAATTAATTTAAGGAAACTGAAAATTTGGTAAAACTGAGCCAATCGATGATTCTCTTTAAATTAACAACCAACAATAATTTAAATTATCAAAAAATAACTTTATTTGTGTATTGTTTTTATGTTATTTTATATAGATATTAGTGTGGATTTATTAGTGTATTTTAAATAAAGATATTTTGAAAGCATGTAGTCGAATTATTAAATAACTCACTTATTATGATCAGAATTTCTGTCAATTATCTTCGAGAGAATTTTAAAAATGATTAATTTCTACCGATGGACAAAAAATGTGAATGCAAGTGGCAGTTTTTTATTTAGTTGCTTCTCTGTATCTGGTTTCGAATCCCACGATAAAAGGTAAGACACCCATGCAGTATATTATATTTACAAAATTAAATACATATTTATTTTATACTTTTACAAAGAAAATATATGGAAGGCATACCACAGAAGGCAGAGAGTCCTACCTAGTGCGTGGTATTTATAGTCCTTTATTTCTTTCTAATTGTATCAAATAAAATATTTTTCAATAAAAACTAAACACATTTCTTATTTTAAAATAGACATAATAAACACAATAAACTTTAGTTTTTAGATAATTAAGTACTTTTTACCCTTTTTTAACAAATCATCTTACCGTTTTCTTTTAATATCATATATTTTTTTCTACGATCACTATCCAAAGTAGGCTTTTGCGCTTCGAAATCTAACCGCAAACTGGCGAAGATTTTCAAGTTATTTGTACGTAGTATGATGACTAGAGATAAGGAGGCGAATCGGCATACTCAAAATACATTCCCAAAAAACGCACGCTAATTGAGCTTTTATAATTAACCGCATGGGCGCTAGTACTGCAACGGTGTTCAAATTACATGGCTTCTTATGGGAATTATACACAATTTTGTCAAAATAATAAAAATAAACTTGTTTATAGCTAAATAGAGCACAGAACATACTGTTATATTTATTTCTAAATAAGTCTTGCATGTTTTAATTGATAAATTATTTAATTTTATCTATATAAAATACCAATTAGGTAGGTATGACCAAATTCGAAAAGGTTTGTTAAATGCTGAAATTTGATAAGTACAATTTTGTGGCAAATTTTTTTTGAATTGAACCTATACATATATAGTTTTAAGAGCAAAATAACACAGTAAACAGATTTTTTATTGTTATAATACAAATATAAAGGGAGATTTGGGAATGTACATGGTATTACATCATCCTTTAATTTCAGCTTCCCCTTTTTTATTTTGCTAACAGTACCATCAGTAAAAGTAGTCTCATAATATTTGATATCTTCTAAAAAGTATAGAACACCATCATCTCTATAAAGTGCCTTATCGGCACTAGGAACGATATATATGCTGCCACTGTTCTAAGCGTTTAGTATCCTATAAAAAAACCTTTACAATTGTGGTTCAACATAATAAATAACAGTAGCAACTCTTTATCTAACATTAAAATTGTCTAAAAAATAAATTTTCTTTTCTAGTAAGTTAAAGGACCCCGCAGGTTTCTTATGGAAATTGGGTTCCGGTGGATTTTTTTAAATTTTTGATATGATGTAGTCCATGTCATTCTCAACAAATGTTACCATTGCGCCAACCCCTAAAAATGAACAATTTGTCTACTTGGGGGCGTTAAAATCACCCATTTTTAAAAATAGACCATTTATTTTGAAAGCCTGGAAAAATATATTTGCAAGTTTTATTTTAGGTTAAGCTATATAGTATTGAACTTTTTATTTTAAAAAAATCTAACCGCCCCCCTCTACCCCCCAACCACCCCCTACCCCAGTTTTCAAAATAGTATCTTGGGTACTTTTAAATGCATTGCCAAATGTTTTAATAAGTTTAAATTAAGGGAACCGCGCTTTTTAAAATTATCCTATAACAAAAAATATCGGTGGATTTGGCTGAATTTTTAGTATGATGTAGTCTATGTTGTTTTGAATAGAAATTAATTGAATCACAAACTCCAAAAATGAACAGTTTTGCTGCTAGGAGGCTCTAAAATCACCGTTGCCTCAAAATAGACCACCTATTTAGAAAGCCTGGGAAAATGTATTTACATATTTTATTTTAGGTTATGCTATATAGTATTGTGCTTTTTATTTTAAAAATATCTAACCACTCACCACCCCCCTACCGGCGGATGATCAACCTCTAGAAACTACTGAAAGCGTGTGCGAATTAGGGGAATAGTAGTTATCGCAACAAGTGCTTCTAGCACGTGTTACGATCAACATTTTTTCTCCAAGCGCATTTATTTCTAAAATAGAGAATTAACCTGTATAATGACATTAGGTATAACATACAGTTTAAGTATACATATATTAAACCGATGTTATGTGCTGAATTGGTGTAGTGGTTAGGGTTTCGGGCTCATAACGCAAAGATCTTAGGTTCAAACCCGGGCCTCGGCGGTAAGTATACCTTGCTTTTTTTTCAATTTATATTTGTCTGCGTGCGATAAGATAAACTTCTCGCACTCGAAAGAGTGCGAGAAGATCATCTTCTCGCACGCTTGTAGAAAAAGGCGATTATTATTCTTTTTTGCCGTAGCGCTTCCGGGCGAGTTACTGATGATTGATAGCGTCATTCGACCTAGTTGGCGTTGAGTAAGGGAAAACCCGGAAAACCCTTACCAAAATCGACTGCCACTGAGCATAGTGTCTGAAAGGTCACACCAACAACAGAGGTGTCAACATTTTAAAGTAAAAAAACTAGTAACAAAACTTTAAATATCAATAATGTGAAGAGGTGGTGCTTGATTCATATTAATTTGTGCAGGTCTGTTGGAGGCATCCATAACTACATCCAATAATGTCGTCCATGGGTATTTGACATTTGGTTCATGGCGTGCAAAGCCCAAAAACCATAGCACACTTGCCACATGTGCACAAGTGCCCAAAGTTCTTGCCCCCGTTTTGCACGTGCAGTAATAACCCAATATTGGCTCATCCTCCTCTTCAATATGGATATTAGGGTTAAAAGCAATCCAAAGCTGGTGTTTGGAGAGCCTGGTATATCGTAAAAAAATGCGCATTCTAATAAACCCATGTTCATTAAAATGCTCATCTACATGAATAGTTTCACCATCGTCTCTCTGAAACTTGTCCTGCATGTAGGATGCAGCCAGTCCAACTTGATAGACACCTAAAATCAATTGTGTGAATTATTAAAAAAAAAACAACAGAAATAAAACTCCAGAATAGAATTATTGTTACCTATTGTCAAACGTTTCAAATATTCCAAAGTAAGACGAGGAAAATGTGGCAGATGATTATGATTTAATTGGACCCATATGTCATTTATCCTTATAAGTCCTTTAAATTCGACCCTTGCTTGAACTACATTTGCTTCTTGTGCTTGGATGTGGAAGAAAAGTGGGGCTGTTATGTTCTGTAGCAGAATATCTAATTATTTTTTGTTGTGTCCCTCCCTCAACGATTGGATGATAATTAAAATATAGATTTTTCCAATTAAGCTTATACAGCTTATATCCATTTTTTGCTTTTTTAAACAGGCGAAGGGGGCATATGAGGGAGTATTATAGAATTAGTTTTATAAGAAATAAATAAACTGTTTATTTTTAGAGTTTGTCAACCAATTTATTTTTATTTTTATTTAAAAGTACTCAAAAGAATATTTTGAAAATTGGGGCAGGGGGAGGTCGGGGGTAGTGGGGAGAGGTAAGATATTTTTAAAATAAAAAGCACAATACTATATAGCATAACCTAAAATAAAATATGTAAATACATTTTCCCAGACTTTCAAAATAGGTGGTTTATTTTGAGGCAACGGTGATTTTAGAGCCTCCTAGCAGCAAAACTGTTCATTTTTGGAGTTTGTGACCCAATTAATTTTTATTCAAAACAACATAGACTACATCATACTAAATTCAGCCAAATCCACCGATATTTTTTGTTATAGCCTCCCCCCCCCAGTTGGGGGGATAATTTTAAAAAGCGCGGTTCCCTTAATTTAAACTTATTAAAACATTTGGCAATGCATTTAAAAGTACCCAAGATACTATTTTGAAAACTGGGGTAGGGGGAGGTTGGGGGGTAGTGGGGGGCGGTTAGATTTTTTTAAAATAAAAAGTTCAATACTATATAGCATAACCTAAAATAAAACTTGCAAATATATTTTTCCAGGCTTTCAAAATAAATGGTCTATTTTTAAAAATGGGTGATTTTAACGCTCCCAAGCAGACAAATTATTCATTTTTAGGGGTTGGCGCAATAAAACATTTGTTGAGAATGACATGGACTACATCATATCAAAAATTTAAAAAAATCCACCGAAACCCAATTTCCATAAGAAACCTGCGGGGTCCTTTAATGTATAATTATTGTTGTTTGTGAGTCAGGATCTATGACTAAAAATTTTATATCATAGAAACTTGTAATAACATAAACTAGATTCCGTAAGATACATATTGTGTTACAAGGAACCATTCTACACATCCCTCTTCTTTAATGTGTTATTGTTATTACTTATAATGCTTAGCAGTTCGTTGCTTTTTACCTGGCGCTCTTGGAAAAAAGAATCTTCGGAAGTAGTACATACAGAAATTAGTTTGGCCGATTATGAAGTTCCTGTTAACAGAAATAATTATAAAAGAAGATAAGATGAAAAAATTGCTACCGAAGAAGAATCTCATGATACCGGTTACATAAAAACAGACTATAATGAATATTTTATTGCGTATTCCGAAGTTCCCAAATTGTATGCAGTGCAGAAAAAGAAAGTAGGAAGTGAAAATAAACATTAAAAAAATTAATAGGGAAAATATGCTTTATTATCTAAATTTAAAACGATGGATATAAACAAATCGGTTAAATCATGATGTAAATAACGAGATATAGTATTTTTGTAGATGCGCAGTGACAACCAATCGGAACAATTAGAGAAATATTTCCCAATGGCCACCGGTAATTTAAATTATCAAGTATTTCAAATCTGGTGACCTTTTGACAGTTAAAATTGTTGTCTAAAGAAACACAAATCTTGTGTTTAAGTTTGTTTTTGTAAATCGGAAATATATTCGTATATAGCTTTTAATAACAGACTTTTAGTGCAGTTTTTTTTATATTACTTTATAGTACTTTTTACTTTCCTATCTGTATACAGATATAAGGAAAGTATAGGAATCATGATTTTTTTCGACCTCGAGTTTTCGACGGATTTGTGTGTGTGTGTGTGTGTGTGTGTGTGTGTGTGTGTGTGTGTGTGTGTGTGTGTGTGTGTGTGTCTATGTCGCATAACTCATGAACCAATACACAGAAAAACACCAAATTTGAAACTTAAGCTTTATTCTAACGTCTAATGAACTGATTAGATTTTGGGCAGAGTTGGAACATCTGGGGGGGTACTTTATAGGTGGTCATTTTTATATTTTATGGAATATATCTGTTATTTACGTTTGGAGAAGAAAATTCTTCCAATAAAAGTTACTTCTAATATAATTATCTATAATTTTTGTTTTATGTCAAAATTTCCTGAAATGGTCCGTATTCGAGAAATTTGACAAAATGTGCAAAATTCTGATTTTTATGAAAATTGTTGAACTAAAAGTTGTTTGCGATATCGATCTCTATAATTTTTGTTTATACACGATTTTTCTAAAATGGACCGTAATGGAAAAGTGCTAAATTTAAATTTTTCAGTATTTTCGTTTTCAATGAATATTTATAGAAAAATGTTTCGAGGTAGATGTATGTGGACAATGTATATATTTAGTTTATCCTCTAAACATTTATAGAAATGCTGCAATAGTTTGTACAAAATAACCGGAAAAAGCCTATAATAACTAGATAGGAAAGTCATGTGTTGGACACATCAGATTTTTATTATATTTGTTATTCTATTAAATATAATTTGTTGCACCTACTTCAGCAAATTAGTAATAAAAAAAACGTTGATTAAAATCACGTGACAGTGTCTCCCTACCTTCTACCTACATAGTTATTTATCTTAAAAGGTGAAAAGTGACAAGTGACAAGTAACAAGTGCCGTTTATATATCATTCTTCTATTTTTCATTATTATGTTCTATGTTAAATGGGATTCATACATTATATATTAGAGCTATATTTGAGCGGTTTCTTTGGTTTAAAAATATTTTCTATATCTTTTAGAACCAGTTTTAATACTACGTCATATATTTTGAAAGCGCACAAATAGAGGATTTTAAAACAGTGATGTCACTAACAGTTGTGTAAATCACTAGCAACAGATAATTTTTTGTCTCATATGTCAAAGAGAAGCTCATATAAAATTACCCTTAGACTAGGTAATAAAGAGAGGACTCATAACGCCGCGACCAAAGGCGTAACATATTGGAAATAATAAAAAGAACTTGTATTTATGTTATTAGTACTTCATTGATCTTTTTAGGCATAAAACAAGTTAAAAGCGTAAAATTTAAAATAAACAAGTAACAATAAATAAGACACAAGAAAAAAATATATTGAATTTTTATTCTATGGAATTTGGTAAAATTTTGAGTTAAATTTAAATTGATTTTATGTCCCAATTGTATGTTGTATGGTTTGATTAGTAGTTTTTCAGATAATTTTTTGATATATGGTACGGAATAGTATATTAAAATACAATTGCAGAATTCCACTGCGAGAATAACCTTCTGCAACGTTTTTTATACTATTTTCTTGATTTTTGGCTTTATTTACTGTTTTTTTTTTTTAATTTTTTGTGGTCGTTATTAGTTGGGGATTTCTTTTGCAAAATATGTCAGTTGGTAACACTTACTAACCAACTGGTGGATTTTGGTGTAAGAATGGTATATTCTCGCACGCAAAATCGTTAAAGAAGCTCAATCTTAAACGATTTTAGATGACAATTAGTGGCGCTGAAGAGTACGTTAGTTACACAAATTTTATCAGTATCTTTCAGTTGACATTCACTACTTTGGTAGTAAATAAATTCCACTTGTCACTTGGTCAGTAACTAAGTGTTACCAACTAACATATTTTGCGAAAAAAATCCCCAACTAACAATGACCACAAAAAATGAAAAACAAAAAGGTAAAAATAGCGCAAAATCGAGAAAATGGTATAAAACACACGTTGCAGTAGGCTATTCTCGTAATCATTCGTTCGTCCACTCGCTCCTTCGTCGCTCGTGGCCAAATTTATAATTCTTGCGGGAATATGTGGCCTTCTACAACTTGTATTTTAATATACTATACTAGCAAAGTAGTGAATGTCAACTGAAAGATTCTGATAAGCTTTGACTAAATGTCACCAAAAATCATTTAAGAATGAGCTTCATTCATCTACGATTTTTCGTGCGAGAATGGATAAATATGGATCAATTAAAACAAGAGATCTTAAGGAAGAACTGGTAAAGTGACTGGAACTATAGAAAAACTTATTGAAAGTTAAAAAGTAAGTTTATAAGCAGTGGTGGCTTGGGGTAATTTAAAATAAGTGGTTTTCCAATAATTTTATCATTTGTAAGTTCGGATCAAAACTTTGTACAAGAGTCAATATCGCTGTTTCTTTTATTATTTGAGTTTGTATTAAGTGTAAGTATTATTATCATACTGTTTTCAAGCACTACAACTATTAATAAAAGAATATTTTAGTTAGTGTAATATTTGTTTTGTTTTTAATACGTTGAAAACCATCTATAAATATTATTAGTAAACTGACTTTTCTTCAAAATTTGAGATTATTTTTAAATATATATCAGGTTATGTAGAAAGCTTGACATTGATTTTTGTGTAAAAAAAATTATATGAAACTTTATCTACCATTTTTTAGTTTTTATTATAGGTTTAATCATTTTCACAATTTGTCACAGATGTCAAATAAAAAATATATTTTTTAAATACCTTTTATTGGAAAATAAAATAACTAAAATCTTTAAATGTTTATTTTATAAAATCAGTCCTATCACAATACATATTACATAGACACAAGCTAGAATAAAGATATTTAATGCCTGGCATTTTAAATGATACTCTTCGCAATTTAACAATGAATAGGCCTCAACTCCTTATAGAGCTTGATTTTTACTACAAATTTCATTTTGATATCGCTTTTCATTTTTGATTTTTTTTTAGTTTTAACCCCCCTTAAATCCCCCATATTTAATCAGATTTGTTTTTAAAATTAAAGGGCTTCTTCT